TTTGCAATTTTTCGAACAATTTGAGAACGATATCATCTTGAGACCCGCGATATTCGTCATTCAATAGGGAAGATCCAGAGCCATCAAAGTCTGTCGAAATTTCAATAATCAATGATTGATCAATCAGATTATTTATTGACAGAGATTTTCAAAAACGGTATTCTAAAGTTATTTTCTTTTAGATTCAGGCTTTTAAAACTATTGCTCGATAGGAAATATTCACCTCTTTTCATCAATGCCAACGCGGCATTCCTAGCAACCTTCATTCGAGAATTATAAGAATTTTCTGAAATCTTTCGAACTCAGTTATCTCATCTGTGATCACACGAAAAAAAAGAAATATTGAGATAGCAGCATTCGATTAAATCGAACCTACAATTAAATTTTACTATTCGACTGCGCTTGTTGAATTACCGAGTCTAGCCGTTTTTCAGAATGATCACGGATCAAATGACTGAAATCGAGGTATTCCAAAAGGATACATTAGAAGGACCCAAAAAATTAATTCTAGGTATCTGATAGATTTATGTGGCGATCGGTAACTTACGTCATTGGTTGTAAGATATCAATTCACGAAATAAATCTTATAATTCAAAAGAGACTTCTAGAAGCCACTGTGATCCATGTTTCCTTTTGATTATCAATTTTAATACATGAAAACTTGAAAATATCAATGAAATCATTTGTTTTTCTAGTAATTAATGATAATATGCAACTTGTAACAATGTGATTAGCAGCAGAAGAAACGACAGTATTAGACAATGCTTTGATTACTATGGAACATTTATTTAAAAATGGAACTGTTGATTTTCATTTATGATGTTTAACAAGATAACAATCATATTATGAAATTGGCTATTCAATTGATCGTATTCAAGTTGGAGCAAAAAAAAGTAAGAAATGAAAATGACTCGAACCAACAAGGTAAAGAGAACAATAGAATTGAAGCGAAAGAAACTTCAATTTCAATTATCAATGTTGGATGTTGATGATCATAAACGTCAATTACCATTTTGTAATGTTGATATTCAACAAAATTTAATCTATAACAAACTATTTTATTAATGGACTATTGAAATAATTAAAAACGGTTGAGAATATCTATCATATGTTTACTAGATTACAATTAGGTGATCATCCTGATTATCAATCACGAGATAAACATAACGAAATACATCTTCAAGAAAGTAAGAGCATATTTTCAGATCAACAATAAAATTTCTTTTTGAAATTTCTTTTCAGTTCAAGCTGGATCTATTATGTTAAACAATTTACTAAGTCATCAAAATGCTTGACTAAAAAATGCTATTCAGACTCGAATTCAAAGTTTAGAATTAATATATAAACTTTGAAAACTACGTATGATATATGGATACAAAATTTAAAGAAATATCGTCAACAATGCTCATTATTGAAATTATGATTTTATAATCTTCTTCAACGTTATCAAAAATAATTTTTGATCAGTATTAATCGTCTTCCACTGATCCGCAAATCAAATATCTTTTGCACATGATATCGATCCCGATACCTGTTGTATTGTTTTGAATATATTTCGAAATCAATTACCAGCTTCCTATCAGATTCTTTGGTGTTCGAATACCACAGAAGAAGACATTCATTTATTTTTTTCTCGTATACGAACATTTACTTCTCTGACTTTTTCGCTTCAAGTAAAACTTGTGGTTTCAACAAAGAATATAAGACTGATCCTACCGGATCTTTTAGTATAAATGGTAAATTAAGTCTTTCATTTAATTCGCATATAATTGACAATAATCCATCGATCTTTCTCAATATATCCGTTTATGCACCATTCGAAACTTTATAATCGAACATTGTTTTCCCTTTTCATTGGTGGATGTTCAAACGATCCAACTGTCAGTGTTCGAGAAAATTTCAATCAAATTTTGTCAATTCTTTCCATTATTTCAGCATCAACATTAGAAGAAGCCACTAACAAGAATTATCAATTATCTATTAATAAAGAAGACCAACTTGTAGCTTGATTTTGAAAAACATTTAAAGATCAAACAATTGATCGTATGGTTACAATGACAAAGACTGGTCATAAGATACCTGTTAGTTTTGAACCAATAACGAATACTGATGCATGTCGTATATAAATATATATATAATTGTATTCAAAAATATGCTCGAGAATTGCCAAGAAATAAAATCTATGAACTTTCATTTACAAAATTTTTATATCCTGATATACGTTTCTTTGAAGAACCTTACTTCTGTTGCAATCAGCATGTTCAAAATTTATGTACTATTGCTATGCAACAAATGATTAATAAAGCAAAATCTTTAACACAAATATAAACTTTTTGCATGTATATGAACGAAAATTAACCAAATTAGCTTTAATCATTGAAAATGATGCTGTTGTGAAGGAAAAACATTTCTTTTGAAACTCTATTCATTATTATTAAATTCGAAAACTACGAGTGGTACTCTTCAAGGATATGTTATTCCAAAACATTCCTTCAACGAATCAAATCAAAAATTTTAGAAAATGATGATGACGATAAAGCTGAACTTCTTAATCAACAACCAGTTCAAGTATCAGCTCTAGCTGCTTCAGCACAACAACAACAAAATAATGAACCGATAGATGATGTTCCATTAAAAGAAATCAAACAGTTTTATATCAGATTTGAAGAACGATTCTAAGCGTTTCAACTGAAAATTATACGACTTCAGAGGCAACTTTGATTAAAAGTAGTTGTCGACTATAAGAGTTACTTTAAGACATTTCTTCTTCTGATGCTGAAATATCCATTGAAATATTCAAAGAATATTTATTTAATAGTCAAATAAAACCCTTATTCTATTATCTTCTTTTACATCCTGATGTTACTGAAAAGTAACAATTAGTTGCGTTTGTGACTCTGATTTCTTAATTAGCTCGTGACTTACCAGAAATAGAAATCATCGTTTTCTTTGATATAGCCAATACAGCTTCGTATCTTGGTCTATTCAAAGAAATATTCATGGATGGAACATTACGTGGTACAAACATTTTGAAAAATATCTTCTTTGCTGTTGCTACTAATCCATTTGTGAAAATAGAAGAAAATACAGAACAAGTTCATTGTACTGATCATATTTTTCGAAAAATAGCCATTTTTCAAGTTAATTCATTAGCTAAAAGTGATACAACGACGCAGTAGAAATTTATGTTCAAGAAACAAACATTAGCTGATTCAATTTTGAAAGTGCAAGAATTTTGTAAAAAAAAATCTTGGTATTGTTTTAAGAAGTTTATAAGATGTATTTTGTATTTTTATTTGATTAAAAAGCTTATTTTCTTAATCCTATTCGATGTATTGCTTTAACCTATTATTTTCGACTTCCAACAAAAGAAGATAGTTTACAATGTAATGACAAAAAGTCATCCTCACGAGAACAATTAGCTAAACTTCTTGGTCAAGCTATACCAAACTTTGATTATATCGTTCAAAATGAACTCGAACGATTTGCGAATACTGATAATATTGTTATTCCACAAGGAATAGCAATGAATCAAGCTGTATACATTCAATCTCTTTATATTTTCATTTAATAATCGATTCTATTTTAGGTTCGTGAACATATTTTTGTTTTTGTATTGTTGTCAGTATTGTCACATGAACAGCTTTATGTATCATTGATGTTCCTGAAAAATAATTTATTCTAATCTAACTTGAATCAATCTATACTTTTTCTTTGTGATAGATCAGTCTAAAACATTATCTTTTCAAATCAGTCTTCAAAATCTTTAAGATGTACAATTATTAGCAAAACCATTGTGTAAACATTAAAAATGATTTATCAATCTTATTCTATTTTTGTTTATTGAACTTTCAATTTAGTTTGTTTTCTTGGATGAAACCTCATTACCGAATGAAAAGAAAACGGTTTTAAAAGTTTTACATCCTTATTTAGACGAATGTAAAGTAGCATGGCTAATACTAATCGAATAATGTGCATTTATCGTTCGTTACCATCTGACGATAATCAGAAAATCTTAGCTTATGGTTATTTGAGTTTGCAATCAGAGCAACGATAGTCATCTCCCGATGATTACCTTGGTAAGATTATTTATGGTTTATGTACAGGATACTGACGAGTTCTTCGTTCACCAGATTTACCTCATATATTTTATGATCATGATTGTATTTATATGTTGAAAGAATAACGATTGGAGTTGATGAATCCAAATGAAGTTGAACAAATTAGTATCAGAGAAATAACACAACGAAGTTTATTGCGAATGTTAGATGATAATTTTACTGGAGTTCAAATCGAAGAATTTGATAAATTAGTCAATATTTTTGCTACAACTGTTGGAGGACTGCTCACATCATATATCATCATTTGTTCTTGACCTTTTTTTACCTTTCTCCTCAATGCATAGACATTCAATGAATCCGAACTCCAGCTCGGAAACTACACAACAATTGCAGATCGCGTCGAATATCCAAATAGCTATTCAAACACTTCTTGAAAAATATAAGGGATTATGGAAGTAATCGTAGTTTCGATAAATTTGGTTCAGACTTACATATTTCTAAAAATCATGAACCTATTTTGAGGAACTTATATTTTTTTAAGTTTGGATTCCGCACTCTATTGTCAGTACACCTTTTAAGATCAAACATGAAAACTTTTCTTTTCCTTTAATTCTATTTCTTGAAACTTTGTGAGGGAGAAGTCCACCCCTCACACCCTATGTGAACAGATACCTGGAGAATAATGTCTTGAATTTCGATCACTAATTACCGAAAAACAACAATTTTAACGTATGTTCGAACAACTTTACGTAATTCAATGAAATTAGATCCAATTCGTCGTCATCTTTAGAAAGTGCTATACGTCTTTCCTTTCAATGTAGCATTCTCAGTTCTGATTCAAGCCAAACAACAGTTTTTCGTATATCAGGCAAAACTATCTTAATCATTAATACAGATCGTATCCATGATTCACTCTATGATGGTTTTAATCAGAATTATTTTCAATTATGGCTATTGAAGAAAATAGAAAAATCTTTTTCAAAGTAACAATATGTGCAAAAGTAATCATTGTCGTCGCACATGATGATTTTCGATGTATTATTTATACAAAACGAAGTGAATTTTAAGATATTCCAGCACTATTTCTAAGTCGTTTACAAAAATATTCTTTTAGTATATCAGATTTTTATTCAATACAATTACGAGAAATTCCTATTGAAGAACAAGAATTCCTGCGAAATATAGAAACAAAAGCTAGATCATTTATTGATCACTTTGGAAAAGAATATTTCTATGGATTTAATAATGAAACATTATATTCATATCTTCTATCTTTTATTAAAAGAAACACTCAAGACGAACCTTATTTATCAAATATTCATGAAAATTACAATCAATTAGCAATGCAATCGAAACCATTCATCGAATAAGATATAAATGATAAAAACAACTATTTTCTTTTTATATTATAGCAAAAATTTTATAACTAGTTTCACCTGAATCAATGATAATTACCAACATTCAAAGAAAGTACTACTTGATCATTATGTCAATATTATTTTTATCAAGAAGAACATTTGAATTTTGGAAATTTTCTTTATCAAGTGATTTTCTACTTCAAAATTAGCTATTAATGATAATGAATTATTAACAATGAAGGATAATGTCGAGCAAAAACTCATTAATATTAGTATTACAAGAAAATGAATGGATTTACTCGAACACCATCATCTGCTATTAGTTTAAATCAACAATCAAAAAATGATTTATTTCACACAAATGATGAAAATGATATAATGACGCATATTGGGTGTGAGTGTTGATCGTTGCCTAATCCTTACACACATCCACATAATATGCATCTTGTCTTCTTTTGGTCATTCGAGTAAAAATATCAATTTTTCTTTCAGACGATTATTAAAAACTTCAATGAATTAAGTAAATAATTTCAAATGTTTGAAGAACCAAATCAAAAACCGATTCTAATCATTGTTATTGATGGTCGTATGAGTCAACAACGTATACATATTCCATTTGTTCAACAATTAATCGATAAAACTGATCTTTCTCGTATAAACAATCATCTGCAAATCCATCAAAATTTTGTGTTATTCTAATGAATTCATCTGTACAAGAGCTTAATCATAAAGCATGCTATTCTTCAAAATTCTTGTATTATTGAGATTATTAGTTTCTTGATAGTTCAACAGTAGGCAATGCATTTCATTAATAAAAAATGTTGCAAATCTTCATTTCAAAAATCGGAATAACTCATCAAAAAAAAGAAGCTTTAGATAATTCTTTTTATGATGAAAAATATGCTTTTCGATGATTGTCTATTTAACATTTGTTCTCGCTTACAAATTAATGTTCTTAGATTATCCGAAGATATGTTTGATAATCAGAACTCATATGAATTCTATCAATATCAACTTATCGACATCTACAATGTTTAAAAAATATTTTTCAACAAGTCAATAAAGTACAGAAACATATCATAACAAGTTATCATGAAAATGTTTCAATGAAAGAAGAATCATTACATAAAAATTGTAATTTCATTTATGATCTTGCAAAAGATACTTAATGTGGAAAACGTTCTACTGGTCTAGTCGATTCTCTATATTCACATATAAGAATATAATTTACAAATTTTTTTTCATTTATTTTGAAATATGTTGTTGATGATTATACTATATTACTTGAATTAACTGATTATTCATCGTTCTCTGTTAATGATGAAAATCAAAGTATTCCTATGATGCAAACAATATCAACATTAAATGATCATTATTCTATTTATGTCGACAATGTATCAAAAGCTTTGCAGATGAAATCAAATTTACATTAGCAAATCAACAAAATCAATTCAATGATTTGATACTTTTCTTAATATTTAAAAAAATCTCGATTTTTGAAATGAACTAATCATTGTAATCGAATACAAGGTATTGACATACTTGAACGAGCAATCAAGATACTGTGAAAATAATAAAAGTATAGATTCGATAATATCTATTCTTGATCATATCTAACTCACGTAATCGGTTATTTTTCCTACTAAAACTGTCCTTTCTACTTTTTCGCAATGAATTCAAGAATTTCAATATAAATCATTTCTCAAAAAGTACAAGAATGCAAAGCAAGTTGATATTTTCAACACAAATTTACATACGAATAAGATGGAGACCATGGGTATTGGTCAAATAACAGATAAATTATTTGACTGTAAAACCGTGTCAAATTCTATCAGTCAATTACATCAGCTCTTAATACACACTTTTGATCTGCACAAATAAGTATAGTGTTCAGATGTTTAAGCTACAAATCTTAAAAGATTGATGTGGGCTTTTCAATGAAGCATCTGAGTTCTCCTTTCCCTGCCTTCGGATACACTATTACCTAAAAGATTTCCTAGCGACTCCTAAATACAACAGATCTATCTTGAGTCATCTGGAAATAGGTCTTGATAGAATTGATTGAGATAGCTCAGCTGTGTAACAATCTTTATTTTAGCTCTCAAACCAATTGCAACTGCGACAGCAAGTTTCTTGTAATATAAGGTTGCCCTGCTACAAACAGACTACATAGTCAATATGTCAAAAATCTTATTCTCGTGGTTTTAGATTAGTTTCAATGCGATAATAAAGATTGTTAATGGACTAAGCTTGATCAACTATCCTTATCAAGAGTTGTTTACATGTTATCCAGAATAAAATGGTTGAATTTAAAAATTTCTGGAGAATCTCTTTATCTTTCGAACAGAACAAGATAGATAAATGATCTTATCCAGGCGCAAAGAAAATAACTTTATTAATCGATTAGACGTAATGCAAGTCAAAATTCTATGCGAAACGCCTTCAACATTTTTTTTCAAAAATATTGACCAAAAATTCAGCTGATTATTCAATTGATGAACAATAGAATTTTATATCACTTTGTAGCCAAATTATTTCTTTTTCAATGGGTGAAAACTAATGGTTTCTATCTTGCATCATTGAACAAAAATATAACAGCAACATATTTTTGGTTTTTTTTTGTCTCTGACATCAAGTATTTAACTCAAATTCAAGTCCTAATCTAAATAGTCGATGCAGTTTCCTATCCAATGCGTTTCTTGCTGAACTAGTATAAAAGCATAGAACCGACTTGAAGAGGTATAAAATTCTAAGTAGAGTTAGGATTCGCTGAATGTCCACCGATATTATCTTAATAAAATAAAGCATCACAAAAAATGAAACAAAAAGCGAAACTTATCATAAAATTGCTTAAAAAAATGCATTTTTCATTGTTGTTTTGTCATGCTTATAACTTTTCAAGCGGATGTCATGGGGAATACGGCAATCTTTCATTTTACTCAAAATTTTGTACCTTCAAGATGATACTCTTCAAAAATACCTTTCAAAAAAAGTATTGTAGGATCTGAAAACTATCGTTTTGAGCTTTTAAGAAACCTTGCTCTCATAGGCCTTCAATGAAACTTTGATATGGAATGCATTTGATAGAGAATCAGATGCTTAATATTGTAGAAAAAAAAACAGGGTTTCGTTGCTTTTATATTTTTGTCAAGTACTATATAATCCGCAGTTAGTAATAACTTCTTTGATCAAGCGAAGAATCATTTCAAGTTTCATCCACTTTTTGTAATGTAACTGAAACATCAAACTTTGATAATGAGCTCAATTTCTTCTTGTCCTCGTATAACATCCATTGATAAAATCATAGCTTATTTATATAGAACTACTCTCAAAGATTTTGTTTTCCACCGATTGAATGTTTTACTTTTGAGAATATTTAGAAAAAAAAGCTGACCTTCTTTTCAATTATTATGGCCCACAATTACCTACATCACTAGCAAAAGCACTCAATAATTTCTTTAACAATTATTAAATGAGACATCACTAATACAAGATAATATTGATAGTGGTCATCTGAATTTCGAAGGATCAAGTTGTCTACAACTCTTATCTACTATTATTCAACAATGGATTATTGCAACATTAAAAATATCAAAAGGATTATCATGTCAAGAAATAATCTCTCTATTGAAATTTTTAAATCAATTCACATGTCAATTTATTATTACCAATGAAACAATTTCTTTTTGATGAATTAATTAATTAATATTTTAATTGAAAATAATCGACAATATTGTATAAATGTTCTTTAGTGGTGCAAATCAAAATCATATGTTAATTGATCTATTCTTTTCCATCTTCGACGACTAATAAACGTCCCATCACGTGTAGTCTATGAGGAAACAAGCAATTATACATCTCTGGGTAAGTAGAAAATAACATCAATTTCGTGACTATCATCAGTTCTATTTGAAAATAGTCGAACTCAAGTAGAACAATCAGCATCGAAAACGTCCAACATGTGTTTTTCTATTATACTCAAAGATTATTAGTTGATTTTATGAACAATATGTAAATAATTCATTACCTATTATAGAAATAAAATATTATATTAAGGAAAAAACATTAATAATTCCTATTATATTCGAATTTTTCGTCACAGCAGAAGCTACAATTACTTCGACCTTGAGTCGTTTTATTCTTGATCAATAGTTGAAACTCACACCACTGGAAAATTATTTTAGGGTATTTGATTCATTTAGACACAATACTGGTGAAGATTGTTAAATTAATACTATTTAATTCTCACTGTCAGTCAAGGTGTTTCTTTCATTTCGTAATTAAAGAATTATTAGAAATGATTAAATCACGGATGATTATAAATATATAGCATCGTATGAAATTAAAATAATCTTGCTAGAGAATATAATATTATCTATGACACATGAAACGAAATTTTTTTTCATAAAAGAACATCAAACATGTCTCATATCTATTAAACAATCAGAAGATGCACTCTTAGCAGTTAATGAACAAAAACGAAGGATATTTATAAACAAAATAAAACTATTGATGAAAATCAATATCTTCTCTATGATCATGATTTGGTTCCATCGAGAAAAATGCCATGAAGTTTATTTATATCGAATAAAAATTCATCGATTAAATTGAATTTAATCTATCAAAAACTGCAAGCATATGTTACAGTAACTAGTGATGAACAGAAAAGTCCAATTGAATTGCAATGTGAACCACATATGACTATTGTGCTCATCTTCATCAAATCGTTTGTGGATTATGAAAATTAAACAAAAAATTCTATAGTGAATGATATCCGTGAATCTATCGATGTTTTAAAGTTGAAATTAATTTCAATTACTGATATTAAATGTGCTATTCAGTCATCTTATAAAATCAAATTAATACTATTCTTTTCTTGTCATTCAAAAAAAAATCGATTTCGCTAAAGAGTCGAAGTACGACAAGTACGGCTTATAGATGGCACGACATCTCAATTCAAAAAATTTCCAGTTCGAGCTCAAAACTAGTTCATGACTTTAGGTTTGAATAGAAAGTCTTCTGATTTCAATTTTTTTTGTGGGTAATTTTATCATGATTGGCGCATGAAGAATTTAAATGATTGAAAAATTTCTCTTATTGATGAACTTGTTGATGAGATGTTATGGTAAAGAAAAACAGAATTAATAAGATTTCTCGTCGTTTCTTGTGTCTAAGTTTTGTTTTCACGTCCATCAATGTTTGTAATATTGAAGGGCCTTGAAGTACGATAGTTTCAGTTTGCAATAGGATCAGCAGCTTAAATAACTGGTTGATAGTACAATGAAGGAGTTTTTTCGTGGATTAAAGACTTCCTTCATTATTTAGAGAAATAGAACTTCTTTTCATTCAGATCAACCCTCAAATACTAAAATTATAAGCTTTGGTTTCGGTGTATGCTTATGTTTCATATCATTAATTATTTAAAAGCAACTGTATCCAAGACGAAACTGAAATGGTTCGAATTGGGTACATGATCAAAAAATTCAGTAGAAAAATTCTGTTTTTAATCTTGAAAGTGACTAAAATGAGTATTCTTTTGGAATTTTTTTGTCGTATGCCATCAATTTTGTCTTCGAAGTATAGTGGTATGAGTATAAAATTCTTTTAATATATAGCCACACACACTGTTTTTCAAATGTGGAGTTATTCATTTCATAATCTTTGAATAATCATATTTCGTAGAATGATTCGTAAAACATCAGAAAACATCAAAAAAAAAATGCAGCCGTTACAATATATTGTAAAATGTTGAAGGGTAGTTCTAAATTGTATCTCTTTACAATCTTTGTTGGATGCTATCTATCGATTTATAAGAGATACATTGTGATAAAGTTAACAATCACGACAAAATGGATCACATCAAATTGTTTCTATAAACTTTTTCATGGGATTAAAAAGTTATTATAGGTCATTTTTCTTTAACTTCGTTTTACTTTATTAATGTATGATTCAAATGAAGCTTTCCGAACAGTTTTTTAACCTAAGCTTCGTCTCTTATACAGTGTGTCCGAAAAGTCCCTTCTTAAAAGTATTTTTGACTATCTTCGCTATTTTATTTAACATTATTAGCTTTTTTTAAATGATAGGTGAAGATACAGAGATTTTTTTCACTTGAGTGAGTTTCAAAAATATTGCTCAAAGGTACCACCTTTCATCGAAAGGGTGTGAGTGTTTTGTCTCTATACGGTCACATCCCATACACTCAACATTTATCAAATCTATCGACATATATTCATTTCGAACATGATAAAAAATGAATCATCTATACATTTAAATAAACTTTCTCATAATAATAGTAATAATAATCAAATCAAACAAATGGATGATAATGCGATTATCCATAAAGGTGTTCTTTTCTTCTTTAAATATTCGAGTTTGTGTTTTGTCATAGGTGAAGAAAATATAAGTATATCTGATAGTGAACCATTAGCACCAGCTATATTACTTGATGTATCATTGAATGAACAGAAACAACTGTTAGGCGAACTATCCTTTGTACTTGTTTAATAGATTGAACCAATTTTAGTTGCGAAACTAACTGACATGTTGATTGAATTCGATAAAAATATATTTTAACATTGATTCTTGTCTTTTAGATCAAAGAAGCGATTCAAAACTAGAAGCTTACCAATATAAATAACGTTATATGATACATTCATGAAATTAAATTTTGTTGTTGAATCAAAACTATGTATGAAGATTTCTTTTCATCGATCAAAGTCTAAATATTGGACAATATTAATGATTTACAAATGTTTAATGAAAATTTTCAAAAAATCTTTATGTAAACGATAATATTCGATCGTAGGCGTTGAACTTTCTTATCAAGGACAAATAGAAAAATAAAATTTTTCTTATGTAAATGCTGCTATATTCGATTTACTATGTCGCTATTAGCTATAAATTAAATTGATTTCGACTCAGAATGAAGTAGAACACTCAATCTATTTCATGAATGAAATACTCCATCGTTCTCTGATAGAATTCATATAATTTTACTCATGAATATCAACTAATCACACTTATTCGATTAAACGAATAATCAAAAAAAAGTGAAGTGTATAGAGTGACTATTTTAATAAAAAATCTTGATGAATTCAGTTCATATTTAATCTAAAAAACTTCTTTCAATTAAATGAGATCAACTTTGGTATACTCTACTTGTTAGACATAATCATATCCATGTTCTTCTATTAGGTTTTGTACTTTCACAATGCTTTCTGATATATTTTTATTTATGTCTTCATTTTCTACATAGACAATTATTGATAAGGAATCTACTTTTGAATAATGTTTTGATCCAGATACATTTATATTACGATGGTCACGAAATTTGAACGACGGGTCTGGCATTGTTTCATAATCATTGGATTCTTTTTTTACTATAACGAAAAAAAAACAGGTTGTTCGAAAATCATGTGATCAACAGTACCTAATATGTGTTTTACAAAAACTTATCATTGCAGTCCCGTGAGAGGTCAAGCTGTAGAATGCACACTCTCTGACTTTAATAAATTTATGGTATATGGTCAGCGAGCTTCAAAGAATTCATTTAAAAATATGCTGAATTAATCAATAAATCATAATTATTAGAAGTTTTATAGCTAATAGGCACGTGTTATGTGAACGCCTGATTGATGTTTGCAATAAGATCCTTTCGCTGAATTAAGCATAAAAAACCCATAATATTTAGATTCGGTAGAATCTTCATAGAATGCTTTGAAAATTTCTAAAAAGCTCCAGAATGATTCAAGTACTGTTATTACTCACGTGCTCTTCCTATTGTTAGGAAAACGTACTAAATAATTAATGGCTTTCTTCTTCCTAATTCCGATTACGAGGGTCCATGGAGGGAGTCTAAAACATCTCGGTTTAAACTTATACTCAGTATTTTCTTCGATACTATATTTGAATTTCATAATATCAACTGTTTACATAAAAAAGCCTCGTTTTCCAACCAATTCAAAAAGCGTTTTTCAATACGGATTTTCTGAAAACATACTAAAAAGCTAGACATCTTTTGAATTTGAAAAGTGAGACTAGCAGAGTGTGAGTGTGGATATGGGATAAAATGGATAATTGGCCACGCTGATTACGATTATGTTATTTTTATTCACCAAAAACTCATCCTTTTCATCTAACTAATATGATGATGGTGGTGATCAATAGTAAAAAAAGATATAAAATTACTTAGATAAATATCTCGAAGAATGTTTTTATTGATTTTATATATAATAAGCATGAGAGAGACAACTTTGTTTTTGACCAAAAAAGTATGAACATGATGCGATATTTGACTTACTTTTAAACAATCTCAATATGATTCAAATACTTGAACTTCGAGTAATTGTTTTTATTATTATGTTAATTATATATATTAGTGTCCTAACAATATATTTTAAAATATTTCTTTTATAAACAATGTATTTATACCTAGAACGTGAGTG